ATCAGATGACTACAAACCAGTTCAGAGGCACAAGAAATATAAGGAAACAGGTCTTTCCCAATGGAACAGAGCAACTCTTAAGTCATAGACAATACAAAAGAATTTGCAGGAATGTCAGACATAGAGCTCAGTGTATTCATGGTGACAGAGATGAGGAAGTCTTTCCAGAATCCTAAGGAGGAGATAGATATCATAAAAAATCAGAACTTCTAGAGATGAAGACAGTAATACACAAAATCAAGACTCCCTCATATCAGTAGCATACTAGACCACGCAGAAGACAGAATCTCTGAACTAAGACAAAACCTTTGACTTAGATAAAACCACCAAAAATAATGAAAAAATATTTTAAAAAATTAAGACAACATATGGGAAATACTGGACACCATCAAATGCCCAAATATCCAAATAATATGTATTTCAGAAGACAAAGAATCAGATACAGGCATAGAAGAACTATTCCATAAAACATTTGCAGAAAACTTCCCAAGCCTAGAGAAGCATTCAGTCATCCAGACCCAAGAAATACAAAGGACACCAAATAGGATCAACATAAGAACATCCTCTCCATGGCATATCATAGCCAGAATGGTAAAAATCTCAACCAAAGATAAGATTCTAAAAATGGGAAGAGAAAAACATCAAGTCACTTACAAAGGCTACTCTATTAGGCTCATATCAGACCTCTCAACCAAAACAATTCAGGCAAGAAAAAAATGAAAAGACATACTCAAAATACTGAAAGTAAAACAATTTTAACCAAGAATATTATACCCAGCAAAATTATCCTTCAAATGGGAATAATAAATAAAATCATTTGCAGACAAACAAAATCTGAAAGAATTCACCAGTACCAGACCAGCTCTTCAAGAAATATTGAAGGGAGTACTATATTAGGAAAACTAAGCAGAGACAAACAGAAATAAAAGAACAAAAAAAAAACCAAAAAACAAAAAACAAAACAGCAACAACAAAACAAAAACAAAAAAACTGAAAAAATGGCAGGGATAAATCTAAAAATATCAATATCAATAATAACATTGAATGTTACTAGATTAAATTCTCCAATCAAAACACACAGACTGACTGAATGGATAAAAAACAAAATAAACCCTCCATTTGCTGCGTATATGAAACACACTTCATGGATAAAGACATACAAACTAAAAGTGAAGGACTAGAAAATGATAGTCTATGCACATGAACATTTTAAAAATGCTGGAGTTGTGATACTGATATTAGACAAAAACTGTAAGGCAAAGAAGGACATTATATAGTACTAAAAGGTCTAATTTACCAAGAAGACAGAACACTTATAAACATCTATGCATCCAACTTGGAAGCATCCAAAAACTGCTAGATATCTAAAGAGAGAAGTAGACTGCAACACGCTAATCATTGGAGATCTCAACGCCTGACTATTTTCTTTGGACAGGTCATTTAGACAAAAAATAAGCAAAGGGATACAGGATCTAAATGATACCATAAATGAAACGGACTCTATAGACATCTATAGAACTTTCCAACCAACTGCCACAAAATATACATTTTTCTCACCCCCATAAGGAACAATTTTGAAAACTGACCACATGATAGAGCACGAAACAAGCCTTTACAAATTCAAAGGCATAGAAACTATATCCAGCATCTTCTCTGATCATGAAGAAATTAAACTGGAAATTTATTTCAGAAAAATACCTCAAAAATACATAAACATATGGAAACTAAACAACCTGCTCCTGCATGACTTCACAACCATTGAGGAAATCAAGATTAAAATCAAAAGATTCACAGAAACTAACAATAACTAGCGCACGAGTTTCCATAATCTATGGGACACAGTGAAGGCAGTCATAGGAGGGAAGTTCATAACAATTAGCACACATAAGAAAAGGATGGAGGGACTGGCAGATGCTGTAATGGTTATATTGCTGGACTCCCACATGGCTGACTCTGGTTCAAGTCTCAGACCCAGTGACTTGAAACTCACGCCACTGCATGTGCATATGTGCCTAAAATTCCAAAGGGGAGAATGGAGAAGAAACGGTAGTGTGGCCATATTCCCTGGGCGGGGGGGGGGGGGGGGGGGGGGGGGGGGGGGGGGGGTCAGGGGATGCCTTCTCACTTCCTGTCACTCTGTGACTCTATCTCTGTCTCTCCAGTGAGCATACATGCCCTACAGGAAAAAAAAAAAAAAGGACAGAAAATGTAGCAAATAGGCAACTTAACAACACACCTCAAGGAACTGGAAAAACAACTACAACAACAAAAAGAATTTAGGAGAAAATAAATAATAAAGATCTAAGCAGAAATAAATGAAATAGAAAATAAACTACACAGAAAATAAATTAAACCAAGAATTTTTTTTTTTTTTTTTTTGAGAAGATAAACAAAATTGATACACCATTAACTAGACTAATTAAGAAGAGAGAGGGACCAACAGTTGGCATATTGGCTATGTCATTGAACTCTCATGTAGTTAACCACAGCTCAAGTTCTGGTCCCAGTGGCTTAAACTCAGGCCGGGCACGTGTGCGTGTGCTCCCAAGATCCCAAGAGGAGAATGAAGGAGAAGGGATTGTGGCGTGGCCATCCCCCCTGGGGGGTGATTTCTTGCTTTCTGTCTCTATGTCTCTCTCTGTCTTCTGGTGAGCACACGTACACTATTGCAAAATAAAACTCTCAAAAAGGAGGAGGAGGAAGAAAGGAACCAGATAAATCAAATTTGCAATGTAACAGGTAGTATTACAACAGATATAACAAATATGAAAGATCATTAGAGGATATTATGAGTGACTATACACTCACAAACAAGAAAATCTGGATGAGATGGACAAATTTCCTGACACATATAAGCTACCAAGACATAGAAATACTGAATAAAATAATTACAAGCAATGAAATTAAATCCATGATAACCTCCCAACAAAGAAAAGTCCAGATTCTAGTGGTTTCATTTCTGAATTCCATAAAACTATTAAAGAAGAGCTAACCTCCATTCTACTCAGACTATTTCTAAAGATCCAAAAGGAAAGAATTCTCCCAAATTAATTTTATGAAGCCTCCACCACCCTCATCCTCAAAACAGACAAGGACCTAACCAAAAAAAGAAAACTACATACCAATATTTCTGATTAATATAGATGCAAAAATTCTCAACAATATACTAGCAAACCGTACCCAATAGCACATTAAAAAGATTGTACACCAAGACCAGGTAGGCTTTATTCCAGTGATGCAAGGATGGTTCAACATATGGAAAACCATAAATGTCATAAATAATTTTAACAGAAAGACAGAAACCATATGATCAATTGATGTAGAAAAGCATTTGATAAAATACAACATATACTCATGATTAAAACTTTCAGCAAAATAGGTAGTGAAGGGACATTTCTCAAACTATAAAGACCATAGGAAAAGCTAAAAGCTTTTCCACTAAAAATCAGAACAAGATAAGCCTGCCTACTCTCTACTTTTCAATATAATACTGGAAGTCTTTGCCAATTCAACTAGACAAGAAAAGGCATCCAAATAGGAAAAGAAGAAGTGAACTTATCTCTATTTGCATATGACATGTTTATATACATAGTAAACCCCCAAAGAATCCAGAAAAGAAAACTCCTGGAGACCAGCAGTTGGCATAATGGCTACATCGCTGGACTCCATGTAGTTGCCCACAGTTCAAGTCCCATACCTCGTAGCTTAAACTCCCGCCGGGTGCATGTGTGTGTATGCCCAAGATCCCAAGAGGGGAATGGAGGAGAAGTGATTGTGGCATAGCCATCCCCTGTGGGGGGGGGGGGGCTTTCCTACTTTCTGTATCTCTCTCTGTCTTTCTGGCAAGCACATTTGCCCTATAGCAAAAACCTCTCAAAAAAATTTAACATTGCTTAAAAGTCCAAAACTGAGTGACTTTTTGAATATAGTATGAAAGATTCACACAGGAAAATAAATTTAAGCATCCAAAGAATTTAAAAGATCTGAATGGATAGTAAATTAATTTCATAAAAAGATTATAAGCCATGTGTATAAAATAAATATATTACATGCTTATAAATATATGTAAGTGTATACGTTTAACTTGTTTCAGGGCATGTGCACTCACTGGAAGGAGACACAGAGGTGGGGGAGAAGAGTCATCCCCAGGAGAGACAGTCATATTACAATCCCTTTTCCTCTATTCTCCTCCTGGGATTTTGGACATGCATACACACATGCCCAGCGTGTTTTCAAGCTACTGGGTTTGAGACTCAAACCATGGTCAGCCATGTGAGAGTCCAGTGCCTTAACCACCATGCCACCTGCTAACCCCATATTTTTTTAATAATATGCATTTTCCATGAACTTTTGAACACTGATTATATTAATTTACAAATTATGTTTCAGATTCCATTTTGTACAAAGGTCAAAGTTTATGAGGTCCATAATGATCTAAGTGATCTAAATGATATTTATTTTATATAAATAATAAACTCCTCTTTTCTTTATGCTATCATTTGAATATGTCCCTCCAAAATTCATGTGTCCAGTTGCTGTAAGAGATTAAGAGGGTGAAAATTTGATCCCATTATGGTGTTGAAAGCTGGGACCCATTGAGAGAGATAAGTACTAAGGTCATTAGGACAGGGCCCCATGAAAGAGTTGTGTTGTGTTTGTAAGGAGAGGCAGTGAGTCCAAAACCAAGACCCACTCACAGACACCAGACACTGCTCTCACCCTCTAAGGTGATGCCTCGGAACTCAGCTATACTCTCCCCCAACACACACACCAGAACTGCCCCTGAACTTTGGGCCTCCAAGCCTTGAGCTGAATAAATCTCTACTTTCATAAATCAGGTATTTTCTGTTATTAGCAACAAAATGGACAAAAACACCTTAACTGTAATTTTCCAAAAGAATGTCAACACTGGATAATTCTGAGCCTTATTATTATTCTGGAAAATGTTAGTGACATGGATTAAAATAAATACACTTAATGAGAGAGTAACTATTACATACCCCATGACCCTGGCATTTCTCTGTTGAGTTGCAAGCTGGTCTCTTTGCATAGTGTCTGAGAAGTTTGCAAACTCCACTTTGACAAAACTACAGCAACCAACAATAACAAAAATTTTAAATATAAAGTCAAGAAGTGAGAAGTCATATTTGGTAAATATATATCACATGCACAACATATGTATGAGTATATACACAACAGATGAGCTGAGTCTCACAACATGATCATTCTGATCAAAGAACTGGAAGGAAACATCAAAGTGGTAAGGTATTATGCTATAAAATAGGACATTGCAAATGAAATACCATTTTCCCTTAAGGAAAAAGATGTATACATTTATTGTTACAAATTGTTGAGAAAACCAGAACTGCTAGCTTACTAACCATTTGTAATACCTTAGCACTGTAATGAGGCTTTGTAGTATATACCCAGCTAGACCCTGAGAAGCAGATTATGTTTAAACTCATTTTATGTTTGATTAAAACTACTGATAAATTTACACTTAAGATGAGACCCTGAGTTATTGATAGACCACTTTTCAGTGTAAGAGCTGCTTTATTCACAGGTCTCAGGGAACGATGCTAAATGCCAACATTCCGTCATTTTTAGGTTTTCTCTCTATGATTAATGATAAAACCTCTTGGCTTTCACCTTACCAGTGTAACCTGGAGCAAGTTATTGAATCCTTCCTTATCCCAGGTATCTTTGAATTTAGGATATTAAGTAGACTATCGCACAGAGCGTAGAATAAAAAATGTTGTTACATAAAAGTTAACAAATGCAGTGTCTTACAGAGGACAATTCCTGAGTCCAGTTTAACCCTCTGTGTAGGGTTTTTTGGTGCAGCAATAATGCTTTGTAATTGCTAGTGTAGAGTTTGTCTTCCATATTTTTTGATTAAACTTCAGGTGTAAATGGATTTGAAGGCTATAGATACCACAATATTTGATCTTGTCATTTATCCCAGAGGCCTCTATTGTTTTACCTATTACAAATCTATCTGGATTAAAACACAAAGACCACAGACTTATAACATCCCTGAATTGGGAAGGTCTGGTAAGGCAACGTAAGCCAACAGCATGTTCTATGCTTTAGTAGAAATTGCAACCCGAGGAATTACTAATCCAAGAGTAAAAATGTGTTTCAAAGGTTTTGTCCTGGTTTTTGCTTAGCAAGATACTTCAATGCCATTAAAAGAGTATTTTTGCAAATATCATTTTAGAAAGAAATAGTATATTCAATTTTACATATGCAATAATAGTTCATCAGCTTATAATTGGCATTTATTCTATCTTGATTTTGTTCTCTATTACAACTCATCACAACTATTCTATGCCAACTATATTTCCTTATATCTGAAATTAATGTAACGTTATCATATTAGAAATGAGAAAAAAGACATGAGAACATATCATTTCTCTTATATAATTCTGAATTGCTTTCAAAAAGTATGCACCAATTTTTTATGTATTTTAGTTTGATAATAAGATATACTTTTTAACACTAAGTATCATTTTCAATGCCCAATTAATAAGACAAAACTTATACCTGAATATCATTTACTTTGTGTGTATTTCATCACAAGTTAGGGGGCAAGTGTGCATATCCTTTAGTTATATGCCCAGTTTCACGAGTCTCTGTTTTCCCTCACATTGGTAAATGTATCTTGAAAGTGTATATGTGAATATATGTGTGTTTCTAGAACATCAGCCAAAAATCAATTCAATTCTGACAATACCTAACTATCAATGTGGACTTAGCCTCAGGTCCCACGAAGTAAAGGGTTTACTCTCAAAACTGCCTTCAATTCAGATGCCAATCATAAGTCCCAGGCAACTCTTCCATCTAATAGACTGACTGTCCATGGGGGGTTTCTATTAACCCCTACTCATAATAATTCATTAGAATGACTTATACAACTCAGGAAATACTTGTGTTTAATTGTTTATTATAAAGAATTCAACTCAAGAAGAGCAAAATGGATGATATGTATGGGACAAGGTGTTGAATGAGAGGGGTAGTTTTTATTAAAACATAATTGTTTAGTCTTTCCATCTGTACTAATTTTGAAAGTTACCACTTTAAAAATCCTTTACTAAGTTTATCAAAATGGTTAAGCAAAAGAAAAATAAGTAAAGTTTAAGCTTTCTTTTATTGTCCTGCCTTATGGAAGGGCCACATTTTTAACAAGTTATTATGCTTCGGAGGAAGTAATAGGGACTCAATCCATGAACAAATAAATATTTTCCTTTAAGTAGAACCAAATTCACTCTCCTGGCCAAATACTGAGAAACTAAATGCTGGCTTATTATTTTATTATTACTATTATTATTATTCACCTTCCCCTTACATGTTTTTGTCTATTATTAGATTCTCTTTTTTCCTTTGTTTACACAAATTATTGCAGGCCATATACTGGCCTAACAAGAAGGCTTATACTCTCAGTTGTGAAAAAAATGTTTTAATCGCTATTGCAAAATTCCTATTAGAACATTATAGATAGTAAGTGGAGAATTTCTTCGACCAACAGAAATTCTGATCCTTGTATCTTAAGATTGCAATGCTAAAATTTATAATACTAATTACAAATTTAACAATTAAGGTCTCTGTCTCTCTCTCCTAGCACTCTCCCTCTTCCCCTACACATATTCGTAAACTAACACACAACCCACCACATACTGTCGAGCAAACATTATATCTACCTTCTGTATGCCACACACAGTACCATCATCTACATAGGTATTATCAGTTGCTGAAGTCTTTCTTAAGTGTGCAGACAGACAGACATGACCTCCAAGGTAAGTATACTGCAAATCATACTTTGACATTGGAACTATTTCTGCATGCGTCCAGTGACAAACTAGTTTTCCACAAAGGATTGATCTGGCAATAAAAAGACAGAAAGAAAATATGATCCATTTTTCACTTAAGTACACAATATATTAGGTAAATAACAATCTGAAATAGGATAACTGCAAGTATTACCCAGATATTAACACCAAAGCTATTCACATCTTACACCATCCTATGAAACGAAACATGCAAACTCATCTGTTGACTGGTCTCGTTTGCACGGCTGTTCTTTGCAGTACACACATATACATACACAGGGACTGGTCTCGTTTGCACGGCTATTCTTTGCAGTACACACATATACATACACATGCATGTGCAAAATGTATGTCTTCATAAATACATACGTAAAATCGCAAGCAGATGACCCACAGTTTCCAAATTTGTCATTTTGAAAATTCACTTCTTCAGCACACAGGTAAGAAGAACCCTTAGCAACTTAAAACATAAAAAAGAAATCCCCGTTATGCATACAGAAAAAAATTAAAGTTTAAAAGTGTGATAAATCTATGTGGCGAGATCTTAGTCGATGTCACTTACTTTAAATGTGGGAGTCATATACTAGCTATAATAGAAAAAGAAACACTAAACAGACTTCCTACTTGAGAATTAGAAAACTGGTATCTCAGGGCAGAAATAATGGAGAAATCGTGAAGGCATTTGTTCTCTTATTTAGTATTAAATAGTCTACTCCCACTCCACCAATCACCTAAAATTTGACCAGTAGTCTATTCTTTTTTGTCTGGAACATATTTGGTCCATTTTACCTCTTCATACTGTTAAAATTTATTTCTATGTACAATTTTATTTTTGAATTTGGATATAAAGAAAACTTTTTTTATTACGACTATAGAGTGGATACTGACTTTAGAGTAACTACAGTTTATAACAAACCCCAGAAGAGGCCAGTAGGTGATGTGGTGGTGAAGGCACTAGGATTCCCACACAGCCAACCACAGTTCAAGTGTCAGACCTGGTGCCTTGAAAATCACTCGGGGTACATGTATGTACATGACCAAAACCCCAGGAGGAGAAAGGAATGCAGCATGGCCCTCCCTCCTGGGTATTTCTCAATTTGCTTCTCTCTTTCTCTGGTGAGTGTACATACCCCATAGCAATTAAATAAATAAATAAATAAATAAATAAATAAATATAAACAAACAAAAAATCAAAAAACAAACCCCAGGAGAAAGATGGAACTATTACATTTTCCAAATAACTCCACACACTGTCTGTCTGGATCTCGGCATATTCCTCCATAGCAAAAGGCAGTCTTGTTATTGCATGGTTCAAAATCTGCAGATCCCACATCAGGGACACAAAATTCAGATGATCCATTGCAATGCTCTGGAAAATCACAAAAATCTTTGCTTTTTCTACATACACTTCCTCTACTCTTTATCTGTGAGACAAAGAAAAACAAATACATATATATTAATTTGTCTTAAAAGTCATGACATATTTTTCTATACAAAAATGCATCATGACTTTTCAGACAACTCAACATTTGTCTGGATCTCTGGGTCAGTCAGACTGTTCTCCACTACAGTGTTGGGATGGACGCTGGGAAAGAGGCTACCTCTGTCTTCTGAAAAACGTGCACTATCGTCTGGAAGAGCAAGGTGCTGCAACACTCTCTCCATACACGTTCGGAAAACGTGTCCCGGAGAACTGTCAGCAAAAGCAAGGAGGGCCGAATGATGCCTGGAATAAGGATCCTGTTGCTCTATTGCTACTCCTAGAAACTAAGAGTCACCTGAACGTGCAGCCAGGCTCATTTCCTATTACGTGGCTTAAACACTTGTTTTCCTTTCCTTGCATATTCATCATCAAGACACAACTGAGCAACACATCCTTCTTATTACGGGGTACCATTTCATCATTTAAGTACCCGTAGGGAGGCCCATGTGCCCGTGAGGGACATGCTCATCCCTGATCAGTGTTCACAAAATAAATACTGGACAGACCATTGTCTTCCATATCACATGGAGATGGCTCTAAGCTGAAAGTGTATTTTTAAAATGGATTAAATATCTATTGGGGGAGAAATCTGCCTACTTGACAGCTGACAGAGAAAGAAGAACCTTTCACACTCACAGCAAATAAAAGTGAGAGCAGAGTGTACAACACCTGTCAGCCTTTTATGGCAGCAAAATTCCATGCCACAGCACGTAGCAGAATGAACAAGAACTAACGTAGCACATTCAGTTCTTACCCCTGAGGGCCTCCCTAGAAATTCATATCCTAAATTTCATTCTGTCAAATGCAGCAACAATCTCTATTTGAAAGAATTCCTTTTTTAGGATGTGGACAGAGTTGCAATGCACTGTTTAAAAAAAAAATCTTATTCTACAATCCCACAGATTGGGAACCAAGAGTCAAGGGACGAGCTCTGGTGAAGGGAAAGCAACGAGGGTCAGAGGTGAGAAGGAGAGGCCCGAGGCTGGCCTCTGCCTTCACGTGCCTTGTAAATGAACGACCATTGTCTTCATCACCGGTTCCTAGAGCAAAATAGAACAGCTTGTAAAAGTGCCTCTTCAGTATTTGAAATGCTACAAGTTGCTGTGTGTTCTACATCGATTTGTCTTCTGCTACTTTTAAAATGAGATATTTTATTATTGAGTCTCCCTGAATATTGCAAGTCAAATATATGTAAAGTGGCTTATTTATAATTTTGTTATTTATTTAATCATAAACAGCAACTTTTCTTGTCAAGAATAAGAGGCACTTTTAAAACAAAATACTCTGGAATTGGTATGCTATGTAATAACCGAGAGGTCGTCAGTGGAGATCCCAACCAGACAATGAAAGACAGAACTAAGAAGGTCGAAAGAGGCCTAAAGGGAGCCTCTCAGTCCTGAAATCAATGGCTTATGAATTGAGTTTCTGTTGTTTACCATAGAAGAGACTAAAGTATCTTGAAAACAAATGAAATATTATAAATAACAAAAAAATATTTTTATTATCTCTCTCTCTGTGGAACATATATCTTCTAAAAACATATTGTAAGGAATATTTAAAGATGTAAAAAAATATTTATACTATTAGGAACTAGAACATCAAAAAATCCTCATCAAAGAAAATATAAAATAGTTGAAAGATGTGTTAAAAAAAAAGCTAAAAGCAAATTGCATAAAACATAAAAAAGTTATGAAATAGCTTAATCTTTTCCAAGCTTACCAAACAAGAATTTCTATCGCAGCAGACACCAGTACCGCACTCTGCACCGTCATGGAGAGTACAATCAGCAGGATTGCAGCATTTCTTATGAGTGCATTTCTAATAATGAATAAAATCAAGTTAAACACAGGAAGTTTCAATAACAAATTATTTTTTTCAAAATACACTGAAACATGTCTCTAATTAACCACCATCACAGACTTTTAACTTTTTTGCTTGCTTGCTTTTTGCAACAGGGTGCGTGCACTCGTCAAAACTAGCAAGCAAGAGAGAGAGACAGTGAGAAGGAAGGTGAGGAATCACCCCCCAAGGGGATGTCCATGCCACAATCCCTTCTCTTCCCTTCTTCTCCAGGGATCTTGGGCATGTAGGCACACACGCCCAGTGTGTTTCAAGCCACCAAGTCCAGGACTTGAACCCTAGTCAGCCATGTGAAAGGCCAGCAATGCAACCACTATGCCATCTGCTGGTCCTACTTTTGACCATTTTTAACACCAGTTTATTGGAACTTAATATACTTTTCCATTAGAAGAAAAAAGATGTTAATTAAATTACTTATTACTTGATTTACTAAAAATTTAATATAACTTCTTTCAATTTTCTTTTGGTCCATGAATATATTTACTGAATGTTTTTATATATTTTCTTCATTTACTATATCATAAGTACTCTCCCATATCATAAACTCTTCTCATTGATTTGGAAATGTGTATCAATTTTTGAATATAAAAATACTTCATGCTTCTAAATTATAATAATATTTTATTATTGTAAATATTTTTCAAAAATCTGTCGCAATTATTTTTAGGTCATAGTTTTTTTGTTGTTGTTTGTTTTTTTAATGAAGGGAGAGAGGTATTTTGGACCCTGTCTCCAACTTTGCAGTCCTCCTATCCCGAACCTCTGAGTTAGTTTGTGTTGGGCAGGGAACCAAGCTCGGGCCACATGCAACCACAGCCACGTTGCAGTGATGTCATGGCTGGGCCGTCCAAGATGCTATCACTAAATTTAATTCCAGAGTGCCAGCAGGTGGAGTTGTGGTTAAGGTGCTGGATCTCACATGTCCAACTCCATGGTTTGAATCTCAGATTGGTGGGTTAAGAATTAAGCCGGGCTTGTGAGCATGTGTGCCCAAAATCTCAAGAGGAGAATGGAGAAGGGATATTAGCATGGCCTTCCCCCTCGGAGGTGAGTTCTCACTTTCCCTCTTTCTGTCTCAGTCTCTTTCCAGTGAGCACACATATCCTATGGCAAGCCAATCTAAAAAAGTTTAATTCTAGAAGTTATTAAATAGTTACAGTACAAAACTTTAAGCACTCTTTATAACATATGCTTATTGCTTCCCATACAGTTATCTGTATAGAAGTTCCATAGAGTTATGAATATAGAAGTTATATATTTGTGCAAAAATATTTCACAAGATGCATAGTAAAGTGGAGAGCCAAAAAAGTGCTATATTCATTTTAATTTTTTATTATGAATGTGTTGAAAATTTCTCATATCTGCATATTCTGGTTTAGTCAATAATTCTATGCCTATATGCCTGTTGTATTCCTCTGCCAAGTCCCTTCATCTGTAAACAACTTTAAATTAACAATATTAACCTCTAGCCAGTATTTTTCATGATACCTTAATTTGTTTTGCTGGTAATGTCTTGATATTTTGATATTGTGAAATGTAAATATTTTCTTGTCTGAGAACTATGAACTTTTCTTTATAGTTTCATTCTATAAAGATAAAATTTTCCTCCTCTTTAGCTCCACCAGTTACAGGTGTGTGTGTGTGTGTGTGTGTGTGTGTGTGTGTATACTACTTTTGTTCTAGATATATGCTTAATTTTACCTTACTTTCAAGGTTTTTCTCAACAGGGTAGTTCAACTTATCACTTACTTCTGATTGCTTTGTAATACCTGGATTATCTCATAATATCTTATATAAAATATGATTCCATTATACCACCTGCATGTGACTGAATCATGTCCAAAAGTTTATTATCAGATACAAATGTAATGTTTACATGACTCATGTGATACTCGTTTTTCTTTCCTTTTTTCAGTTTTGCCAGAGGACACGTGTACATACCCAAGAAAGAGACACAATGGGGGGTGGAAGGTGTGTGTGAGAAAGCAGCCCCATGGGGAGCGGTCACGGTGCACCCCTTTCTCCTTCATTTCACCCGCTTCGGGTTCTCAGTACTAACACACACGCTCCCAGTTGTTTTCCTTTCAAGGCATGAGGTCTGGGACTTAAACCCCGCAGTCAGCCATAGAAGATCCAGATGTTGTAACCACCAAGTCATAGCTGCCCCACTTTTTTCTATTTTTGTGATTCGACATTAAGGAAAATGTGTTATACTTCACACATTATTTTTTTTTGCCATAGAGCCTGTGCGCTTGCCAGAATGAGAGAGAGAAGAGGGAGCAAGTAAGGAAGCACTCTCCAGGGTCCCTCTGCAATGCTCTCTCTTCCATTCTCCTCTAGGCATTTTGAACACACACACACACACACACACACACACACACATGTCTGGTATCATCCCCCCAGCTGCCAGTTCTGGGACTCCAAGCCCACAGTCAGCCACATCAGATCCCTTCACTCCAATCACCATGCCACCAGCTGGCCCCACAAAAATATTTGAATGCAAAAAGAGTATTTAGTGAAGTTGGAGGCCTGAACACACACACTAAATATTAATAATAATGGGGGGGGGAATCAATGGCATAAAAGGAAAATGCCCATAGAATCAAAAAGAGAATCTTAAGATGGACTCTCATCATGGGATGGAAAGAAGTTTATAAAAGTATGTTGTGATTTATCACTTAGAAATCTAAAAAGTCAGAAAACATATACTTTTGTTTGTACTTCTCCAAACTTATCAAGTATTTCTTCAATATTTAATATCCTTTCATTATTTCTCTATGTGCTAATTTAGTTAAATAGCCTGAAAAACTACTACCAAAATGTTTCTCTATTTTAAAAATAAACTCCAAAAGTATTCACTTTTTGATTTATTAATTTGGACTGTTTTGTAATTTTGATTTATACATTTTATAGGTATTTTTCAAATTATAAACCAGCCATTCAAAGTAACATTAAGCTGAACTATGGGAGAAATCAGTCACTTTAGTGATTTCATTGTATCTCTGTTTTCCTGAAAAGAACACTGAAAACTGGAAGAACTGTGATTTGAAAACTCGTATACAATTGACAGTAACGTTCAAAAGCATAAGCTTAGAAATTCAAGTTAAAGTTATAAGTAGATGGTTAACTGATTCTCAGTCTAGGTGCCAGGATAATTCATTATGATGAAGACAGTCTTTCCAACAAGCCAACTCGCAAAACTGGGCATCCACGTGGAGACAAACATGTACCCTGGCCCTCATCTTACAAAATGCACAGAAACTTACTCAGAAGGTTCCCCAGACCTACAAAAAAAGTAGTCAGGCCCATCTGCAGCGGCTTGGGTGGTAGGGTGCCACTGCACACTTTTGTAGCAACATGAAAGGTCTAGGTTTCAATCCTGGGTTGACCAAAATGTTCTATCAGGCCTGTCCACACATACCTGTGATCTTGGCTAGGGAAAGTATCACAGTATAGCAAGATCCTGCCAAAGGCATCTCATGCTTTCTTTTTCTCTCTCATAAAAGAAAGAAAATCTTATAAACATGAAATCAACAAATATCCAAAAGAACATATATGGGAAGACTTCATAAACTTGGGATGAATAGGGTATAAGTAGCACAATACATAAAAATGATAAACTAGACTTCATCCTATTAAAAATGTATACTCTTCGAAAGATATCACTAAGAAATTACAGAGCCAAGATACATAGGTACAAAAATCTATCAGAGGCATATGCAAATACAGTTTGTAGTTTTTATTAATAAATCCTATAACTACATAATGAATACAGGACTTCAGAAAGCATGCTAGGTATGTGAAAAGACATTGTAAAAAGCAAACCTAATATAAAGGTCCAGTAATCACATTACCACTGTTCAATCTAATTAGTCATCAGAAAAATACAAATTAAAGCCTCAGTGTGATACCAGAACATATCCAAATGGCTACAAGGCGAGACTGACATATTGAATTTGAATAGGATGAGGAACAACGTCACACCCACACTAGACAGAATGTGACATATTTCAACTGTTTTGTAAAACAGTTTGATGGTTTCTTATATTTTAATACAATAGTTAACATATGGTCCAATAATTCTACTTCAAGATATTTCTTAAAGATAAATGAGGGCTGGCAAGTGGCATAGAGGCTAAGACACTGGACTCCCACGTGGTTGAGTGCATGTGCCCTATAGCAAACAATCTCTCCCCCCACAAAAAAAAAAGAAAGAAAAAGAAAGAGAAAGAGAAGAAATGAAATCCTAAGTCCACATAAAGCTTCGGATATGAATATTTAGAAACATTTGTTATCATACTCTAAAGTGAAAACAACCCAAATACTTACTAACAGTTGGATGGATAAACAAATGTGGTAAATTCTTACAAAGAAACACTATTTCACAATAAAACCCAATGATCTATAGACACATTTAAACATGTGTATGGCTATCAAAAGCATTACATCAAGTAAAAACTCCAGAATCAAAAAAAATTCATAATTTACATAATACTTTCACAATTATTTCAAATAGTGGGCAAAAGTAATTAATGCATAGTGACAGAAAGGACAAGTTTAGGTACTTAAGGGATTCACCTGAAGGAGGTATCAGAACTTTCTGTACCAATCATAATGTTTTATACATCCATTAGAGTTGGATACATGCACACACAAATACACATCATGCATATGTATGTCAAAACTCATGAAATAATAATCAAGTTCTATGTGTTTCAATGAATGGAAATGCTACCTCCCTTTTAAAAAGAATCTAAGTGTATCACAGAGCGAAATGCCAAGCGGTGACAGAAACAAATAAAAAGCACAGAGATCATGAAAGCCGCAAGGACATGAACTAAAACTCTAAAGAGAGACTTCTGAGATGAACTGACCTTCACCAGACTCTTTTTTTTACCCCGGGGTGCTTTCAAGGTGGGGGTAGGCAAATGATCAGTTTAAGCTTATAAGGAAGGTGTCTTCCAAAGGTAAAATAAGTAAGAACTAGTGGACTTACAAAGTGGTATTGGCAATTTAGACACCTGAATAACCTCACATAACTTGTCTATCCCAAATGATAGTCACCAAAGTTTGTGAGTAGAGGAGACAAGATAAGATAAAGCAGCCTGGGGAGATCTTAACAGGAGACCTCCAAGTCCAATGTTTAAGCGTTGACTAGACAAATGCTCCTCATCCCTTCAGAGAAAACCCCTTGGAAGAACAGATTTGAAATGCATAGCTGATACGAAGGTTATCTAAATTGTTCTAAAACTGAAACCCAACCTCAAATGACTTCGGTTCCTGATAAGACAGAAGTATCAGCACTTAACTCTCGGTGTCACAAAGACAAAATATCACAAAGACAAATAACAACGGCATTCTCAACTTAAACAATACTATATTTTTAAGTAACACCAAATGCTATGGATGACAAAATACAGGATCATAAAGTTAAAAACCCAATGGAAGCAGAAAGAAAAAAAATTTAAGTACATGATAGAGAAGAATAAACATATGCTATGCCTTCTGAATTTCTAACACACACATACACACACACACACACACACACACACACACACAATGTCCACAAAAAGAAGGAAGAGAGAACAGGGTAGGTACCTACGAAAGGAGAGAGTAAGGAAAAATGTTCACATCCAATTATGTATGACATCACTCAAATACAAGAAATTCAGCAAATCAGAAGAGTAAATATAATGAAATAGACCCTAAAACTAAGAATAAAATGCAAGGTCATGATGTCTTTATGGGTATGGGACTAATGGATTTCATGGATCCTAGGCCAGGAGCAGTGGGCAGGAAAGGATATAGTCACTGAGACATCTGAGAGACCCTTCAGTGGGCAGGGGTAGAAATCAAGGTGAGGAGACTGTCTAGCAATGCTACAGAAAGCATAGTGGGGTTGCTGTTCCCCCACCTACACCATCGGGGGAGTGAAGGTCCTCTCATTCTGCTTGTGATCGCAAGAATAAACAGAACAATTCTGGGTTCTCCAAAATTTAGAGGTATGTTCTTAGAATACATGAAAACAAGAAAGAAATTAGATATATTCTTAGAGAAAAGCCTGATGAAATCAAAAAAGCAAGCCTCATTCAACTAGCAATGCCATGCCTTGATAAATTTAAAACAAAAGACCAATATGGATTGGAGATTCCAACAGTACCATGCCATTTCATAACAAATTGGAATATGAACACTGGTCATTAGAGTAAGAAGGGCCTTGCCACGAGGTATAAATCCTTCTAATTGTGCATCTTTTGGAAAAATGCTTCCTCCCTGGCTTGGTTTAAATTTTAATGAGGTTATGAAATCCCAGGAGACTGTGCCACAGAGCAGGAAGCAGGAGCTATGATTAGAGATTTGTCTCAGACAGTAGCTACTACCCTTGACTCTACTGAAAAAGACGACACATGAATAGCCAAAAGGCATATGAAAAAATGCTCAGCATCCCTCATTGTAAGGGAAATGTAGATCAAAACAACAACGAGATACCACCTAACCCCAGTCAGAATGTCTAAGATTAAAAAAAACAAAAAATGATAAGTGTTGGCAGGGGTGTGGTGAAAGGGGAATTCTCTTACACTGCTGGCAGGAATGTAAATTAGTCCAGCCACTGTGGAAAACAATTTGGAGATTCCTCAAAAATCTACAAATAGAGACCAGCAGTTAGCATAATGGCTATGTTGCTGGAGTACCATGTAGTCGACCACGGTTCGAGTCCCAGACTCAGCAGCTTAAACTCACGCCAGGTGCATGTGCGTGTGTGCCCAAGATCCTGAGAGGAGAAGGGACTTCAGCATGGCCATCCTCCCTGGGGGGTGATTTCTCCCTTTCTGTCTCTCTGTCTCTCTCTGTCTTTCTGGTGAGTGCACATGCCCTATAGCAAAAACCTCTCCAAAAAAAGAAAAAAAAAATCTACAAATAGAACTACCATATGATCCAGCAATCCCACTCCTTGGTATCTGCCCAAAGGACAGAAGGATTCTTAATCAGAAAAGTGCTTGCACATCAATGTTTATTGTGGCACTATTCACAATTGCTAAGACATGGAACCAACCCAAATGCCCCTGAACAGATGAATGGATTGAAAAACTGTGGCACATATACTCTATGGAATACTATTCAGTAATACAAAACAAAACCCTAGCTTTTGACAGAAAGTGGAAGAATATGGAAGATTTACTGCTGAGTGAGGCAAGCCAGGATATGAAGGAGAGACATTGTATGTCCCCACTTAATATGTACCGAGTGTCCGCACCCTATGACTGAAACTGATTGACTAAAGGATATATAAACTCAATAAATGGGTGTAAATACCAGATATAGTGTGTGAGGAAGAGTAGGGCCTGAGGAAGGACATTTAGAAGAAAAATAGGGAGGCAATGCATTAATGGGACAAAGAAATATAGTATTATCTGTTGAAGATACTTTATAGTTTAACCAACTGGACTAGGGAGAAAAATTAACATAGTGAAATATTCATTTTGTAAGCTAAAAACAGGTAATTTAATGTATAAAAAATGAAATTAAAATAATAATAAATTTTTTTTTTTTTTTGAGAGAGAGTTTCACTGTAGGGCGCGTGCGTTCACCAGACAGACAGAGAGAGACATAGAGACAGAAAGCGAGAAATCACCCCCCAGGGGGGATGGTCACGCCGCAATCCCTTCTCCTCCATTCTCCTCTCGGGATCTTGGGCACGCACGCACACGCGCCCGGCGTAAGTTTTTTTTTAAGCCACCGGGTCCGGGACACGGACCGCGGTCGACTACGTGGGAATCCAGCGACATAGCCATTACGCTAACTGCTGGTTCCCAAAATAATAATAAAATTTTTAAAAAGGGAATTAGCCCAGAAAACTTTACATTCTCTCACTAAGTTTGTTTTAGATAAATTTACACTGTCTGTTGGCTGAACAAGGGAGCATATGATAGCGGACATTTGCTGTTGCACTTCAATAAATACATCTGTTACAATAGAAACTCAGTTGCAAGAAATCAGCAAATAAGCACTTTAAAAGAAATAGATTTGTCTTCCAGCTCATTGTGATATATTTTTATTTTGATTAGTTTAATTATTGAAGCTCTTGTGAAGTATGCTTCAATCACTTAACATTATCCTTCTGAAAGTCATCATTAGAGGTGTAAATTAGCAATTTGAGATAAACGTGCCATTGCTAAGGCGTTCTTCATCTATTTAATAACTCGGAAACTCCACAGCTAAATAGTAGCCAAGACACTATGATATACATCAGGAGTTAATTAGAAGATATAACCAAACTCTTTAAAATGGAAAAACCAGTCTATGAATGCTTTAAGTTGCCATAAACAAGAAAGACCAGTATGTATACATTCCCAATATATCTGATTATTACACATGATGTTGAACTACATCTATCAATACACAAAATAACATGGAAGTTACTAGGATTACAGGGGATTAAAACACTAGTTATGGGAAAGTATGCAATGTTTGTAAAATGTTCTAAAATTGAAAGCTAATAAAACCCAATAAAAACATTCAAAACAGTATTACTAAGCAAACATTTCTAGGCAAACATTTCGATCTCTGGATAACCTATTCAAGTTGGCTACTAACCTCTGCATTACCACAGTCACATTCTTCTGGTGGTTCCAAAATTGAATTGCCACACGTTCCAGCTTTATATTGGTAATCCACTTTTGGGACAGTTATATTCTGAAGACATTGAAATCCAGGCTGTGAAATTATCTGTTTAAATCTATCCAGGCTGCAACTGCTAAAAGACTTTACACCAGGGGATCGTCTAAAATTAAATTATATTCCTCAGATAAATGGCATAAAATTAATAGAAAATAACATTCATCAATAAAGTGCTATAAATTCTGCACTACTTAGAGAAGAGCTAAGAAGTGTTTTTAATTTTAATACAGGTTGTAAACAAAAGCAGTAATTACGTATCTATTGTAATTTGATACCTGTATAGAAAGTAGAGAAAGTTAGTGTAATGGCTATGTTGCTAGACTCCCATGTAGTTGACCGCGGTTCGAGTCCCGGACCCAGTGGCTTATACTCAGGTCAGGAGCGTGTATGTGCGTGCCCAAGATCCCGAGAGGAGAATGGAGGAGACGGGATTGCAGCGTGGCCATCTCCCCTCAGGGGTAATTTCTCGCTTTCTGTCTCTCTGTTTCTCTCTGTCTTTCCGGCGAGCACAAGCTCCCTATCGAAAAAGCTCTCAAAAAAAAAAAAAAAATAGAAAGTAGAGAAAGTTAAAGTGACAAACACTAACAATGCTTGGTAGATGATAAGCTCTAATTGTGTGTAACATTGTCAACAAGGTTATTACTGCAAAAAAGTCCATTATTAAAAGAAGTTCCAATAATCATTAAAGAATAAAAAGCATTAGACAATTTATGTAGAAAATTTCAAGAAATAAAAGAATGTCAATTGTGTTCATCATGACTATTTTTCTTTACAACAAAATGAACCATATAAAATATTTCAACACCGGGGACTATTAAATGTAAAAGTCCTAGATATTTTTTTTTTTCTTTTTTTGGAGAGGTTTTTGCTATAAGGCGCGTGCTCTCAGTTTTTGCTATAAGGCGCGTGCTCTCGCCAGACAGAGAGAGACAGAGAGACAGAAAGCGAGTAATTGCCCCCCAGGGGGGATGGCCAAAAGGCAATTCCTTCTCCTCCATTCTCCTCTCGGGATCTCGGGCACGCATGCACATGCTTCCAGTATGAGTTTAAGACACCAGGTCTGGGACTCAAACTGTGGTCAGCTACATGGGAGTTCAGCGACATAGCCATTACGCCAACTGCTGGTCCCAGTTTTTCTTATTAATTTTAAGTTTTTCTTATCTTTCTTCTTTTTGTAGAGGTTTTTGCCTTAGGGCACATACACTCATTGGAGAGAGAGAGAGAGAGACAAAGACAGTGAGGGAAAGTGAGAAATAACCCCCCAAGGGGTTGGCCACACCACAATCCCTTCACCTCCATTCTCCTCCTGGAATCTTGGGCACACACACATGTATGGCATGAGTTTCAAGCCACCTGGTCCAGCACTTGAACCATAGTGGCCATGTGAAAGCCCAGTGACGTAACTGCTATGCCATCTGCTGGCCTCAATTTTTCTTCTTTTTTAGCTTTTATAATTTCTATACTTTTAAGGATATTTTTGTAACAATCTAAAGTTTAGAGAAATTATGCAAATGCAGGCCAAAAATATATTTTATTTCCTGAGAGAGTTAAGATGCCAGGGCCAGCAGGTACCATGGTGGTTAAGACACCAAACTCCCACATGGCCAACCATGGTTAAGTCCACAGACCTGTGGCTTGCTTTCCCACTGTCTCTCTATCTTCCTCTCTGGGGAGCACACGTATCCTAGAGCCAATCAAAAAATAATAATGGTAAATTAAAAAACAGAAAAAAGTAAGATGCCAACATGATATCCTGGTAACTTTGACAGAGTTTACACACAGAAATGAGTTGTCCACGTAAACTCGGTAGATCCCCCAAGTCAGGAAAGAATGATACAGCACTGCCATCTTCTGATTCCACGCTGATGTCCTCAAACCACAATATTGACATGTATCAAAAGGACCCCACTCAGAATCAATTGTTATGTTGATTTTGCATGTCTCCTTGGTTTAGTTGTCTATGTTTTGTTAGCTTTTATGACCTTGACATGTTTTATGGTTACAGGTAAATTATTTTGTACAATGTCCTTCACTTTAGGTTTATGAAATACTTCCTCATGGTTACACTGATGTTAGATATCTTGGTAATGTGTATATATATATATATACACACACATATATATGTATATAGGTATATGATACTGTTATGGAAAATTACCACAGGAGTGTTGCTATGTTTATTTCATCACATACAATATCATTTTCTTATATTATTGATAAGTTACTTTGATTAGTTGACTCAGGTGTGTCTGCCAGTCCTCACTGTTAACTTACTTTTTTCAGGTAAGCTGATAATTGTTTGGAGATGGGGCCAGCAGATAGTGTAGTGGTTATGACCCTGGACTCCCACATGGTTGACTCTGGTTCAAGATTCAGATCTAGCAACTTGAAGCTCACACCAGGTGCATGTACTTGTGTGCCCAAAATCCCAAGAGGAGAAGGGATTGTGGTGTGGTCACCCCCGACCCACCGCAGGCAGGGGTGAGGGCGTGATTTCTTGCTTTCTGTCTCTCTGGTAAGTACACGCACCCTAAAGCAAAAAATATCTCCCAAAATTTGTTTGAAATAATTTTTTTTCTGTTTTATTCAATGGATTATAATCTATTACTACCATTATTATTTTTGACACTCAAATTGTTCCATATTTGGCCAGTCGGAGGCTCTTCAAACTGGCTTTTATGTCCCTTTGGCAAATCTCCATAGTTTTTGAGCATTTCTTTTTCCTTATAAAAAATGTTCCAGGCCTGTTTGCATTTTTTCTATTTCAGCTTTGAAGTCAGTCATTTCTTCTGTGTGCCTGTTCCATTTCATGAAGAAAAGCATTCTAAAAAATCATGATCTGGGAGACACATGTGCTCAGTGTAATCAGATTTTTAAGAACAGAAACTGAGACTACACCAGTTTACATTAAGAAATGTTCACAGTGACTTCTTTTCCTGCGCTTGTGATTTGCAAAATCTGCACCCACTTTGGTTCCTTCAATGCTGTTGAACTGATACTTCAGCCTAGCGAAGTTTTTGGTGTGTGCATTACGCAATATCCTGGATTCCCACATGTGTATGGTTTTTAGAGGTTCCATGTGTTCCTCAGATTCCTCCCACAGAGCTACGTACTTCTTTGCATCTTATTTTGTCATTGGATTTTCAATTGCTGGTATTTTCAGTATACTCCTATTTGGAGAACTTGTGGTATATGCTTTTGTCTTTTGCTTTCTTTACTTTGCGAGGGAATGTAGTGAAGCTAAAATACCATGTTTGAGTTTTCACCCTTGGTGGCTATTCTCTCACTTACTTCTGAAACACCATATCCATCCTACTTGGGCTTTTGTACCAGAGTTTTCGCCTTTTGTGATTCCATCCCACGTTGCTGCTTTTTGGTCAATTACTCAGCCTATGAATATGAGAAGTACTAAAAATTTTATCTCCAGGCAGCTATTTTCTCTCTATAACTTATTTCAGAATTGTCTGCCTCTGGGACCAGCAGTTAGCATAATGGCTATGTCACTGGACCCCCATGTAGTGGACCACGGTTTGAGTCCTAGACCCGGTGGCTTAAACTCACGCCAGGCACGTGTGCGTGAGTGACCAAGATCCCAAGAGAAGAATGGAGGAGAAGGGATTGCGACGTGGCCATCCCCCCTGGGGGGTGATTTCTCTGATTTCTCGCTTTCTGTCTCTCTGTCTCTCTCTGTCTGTCTGGCGAGCTCACGCGCCCTATAGCAAAAACCTCTTCAAAAAAAAAAAAAAAAAGAATTGTCTGCTTCTGTTTGGACTGCCTGTCCACACATTTAGTGCCTTTGTCCACTGAGCTCGAAACAGATGTACCTATGCACTTAAACTCTCACCAATGACTCAGAGTAGCTCATAAGAACATACCAACTGTCCTCAAGGTAGTCCAAATTTTTTCTTCCTTTCTTAACTATTGGCCTTTTTAAGTATTTGCTACTATGTTGTAACAGCTTGTGAGTAACCTTTGTCGTCTTTTATCTCAGTCTTAACAAAATAGTGCAGGTTAAGTATAAAGACCATCATGCCTCAAATATTAGTATATAATAGTTCCCACTGATTTATTTTACATTAATTTTAGGAGGTACATTTACATTATCCACAACGCATGAACTGACTAAAATATGTTTTGTTTCATTTATCACACAGTTGGGATTCCTGCGTCACAAGGGAACGATCACGGTTTTCCCTACGTTTTCTACATTGTCCTCTCGACTGCTTTCCTTGATTTATAGCTCTTTAACCTCATTGTATTTCACTTTCTTTTTCCTGTGTCTAAAATATTCCAGTTATTTCTGGATTTTTTTTCTTTCAGACATCACGCACAGATCTTTTTCTAGGCAGCTGCATTTTCTCAAACGTATTGCTGTATGAGCATCATTCCACTTGCTGGACCTGAAAACTTTTTTCTTTTCTTTTGTTTGTTTGCTTGTTTGTTTCATAGTTTTTACCATAGCAAGTTTATGCTCACCAGAGAACAACAGATGGAGGGAACGTGAGAAATCATGCCCCTGAGAAAATGGCCACAGCACAGTCCCTCCCCCTCCCTTCTCCTCCTGGAATTCTGTGCACACACGCACTTGCACCCTTCGTGAATTTCAATACACCAGGTCTGGGACTCGTACCACTCCTAGCCACGTAGGAGCCAGTGGCTTAACCACCACATTACCTGCTGACCTTCCTGAAAACTTTTTCAACAATGCTCACATGACTCAAGTAAACCCCCAAAGTCATCATCAACGTCTACACTTTCTCTGTACAGTAAAATTTAAAATAGAAATATTAAGCACATTATTTACATCTATACCTTTTTCTCTGTACTAAGTCTTAAGTAAACACGTGTGTATTTAACAAAAATATTTTACTAAATTTAAATTGTAAGAGATTATTTATCAAGAAAAAAAATACCAACAGTTCTTGAGAGAATATTTAGATCTGCTTTTAAAAATCGAAAAGTAAAGAGCTTACATTGCTTCAGGATTCATTATGCATGTATCTCCTAGACAGTAACAGTTGTGGACGTCATCATATGTTAATCCCAGGCTAATTCCAAGCAATTGTACCATGACAACTGAAAATGCCTCTAAGGTTACTGTCTTTGAATACTGAAGAGAAAAAAAAAAAGTTATTGCCTAAGGGAATTATTTACCCCTTCGATCTTGCGAAGCTTTTCTAGCAACACTACCTAAAAATGCAAATTTAAGAAACTGCTACATGAAAACCAGTTATTTTCTTGGGAATATGAAAAAATATTTTCAAGTGTTTTTGAGTAATAATATTTTAACCCAAATGGCATTGACATATAATAAAATGTGATTAATGCTGTCATATAATTTTATTCAATTCAATCCCAACAAATTTCAATAGACAGTTTGAAAAATAGAAGTGTTATTGCAGGAACAATTATTATGTCTCAAGAGAATACTTAGATACAAAGATTCTGAAGAGCTGTACTTACAATTACATTTGACTTCAAAAATAGTTTGAGAAAAGATTTATATTTTCTCAGCAAAATAGTATAATCCCTTGTGAGAGGTCGCTCTACAAACTCCTTGCATCAAACGATCTTTTTACAATTCATAGATTTGCCTACTCCTGAATACCAGACAATTAAAATAAACATAGTTCAAATAAAACAGTATGTTTTATTTTCATATTTGTTTCACTCAGCACTACACGTTTAAAGTTTCCAGTGTCTTCTGTGGCTTAATAATTAATTTTTTTAAGATAACCAGATAACATTACATTGCATATACAAGTATGTCTATTCATTCAACTATTTGAAAAACGAAGTGGTTATTTCTAATCTATGGCATTATAAATGTAACTATTGCATACATTCATGTGAATGCTTTTGTGCCACTCTAATTTTGGTAAATATTAAAAAAAAAATTGATTCCTAGATCAGATAATAAAGGTAACTTGACTATTGTAAGAAATTGCCACTGTGGAGAACAATATGGAGTTTACTCAAAAACCTACAAATAAAATTACCATTCGACCCAACAATTTCACCCCTGGGTATCTACCCAAAGGATGTGAAAAACTCAGTCAGGAAAACATTTGCACTTCCATGTTTATTGCAGCATTATTCACAATTGTTAAGACTTGAAATCAAGTTCAATGTCCAAGACCAGATGAATGGGTTGAAAAAATATGGCACATATACACTATGGAATACTACTCAGCCATAAAGAAACCAGAGACAAAGTTTGTCTCTTCAAAGCTGTATCAAGTTTGATACAAAGTGTTTGAATGTGGAAGATGTCATGCTGAGCAAAGCATGTCAGACTAAGAAGGAGAGACATTTTATGTCCCCACTTAATGTATTCCAAATGTCTACACTCTATGGAAGAAGCTGAAAAATTAGAAGATATGAAAACAGAGAGAGAGAGAGCAACCGTAGATACCAGAGACAGTGTGGCAGGGGGTGAGCAATGTGGGAAAAGCGGGAGGGCATCAGAGGAAAAAAAAGAACATTTAACAGACACAAAAATGGAAAGTTACCTGTCAACAATAATGCATATGGTAATATCTTTGCTGGACTAATATACAATATATTCATGCATGGGAAAAAATAATGATAAGAAAACATGATTGAAGAAAAAAAAAGATTTTAAGGGGATGGCAGGTGGTGTGGTGGTTAAATGTGCTGAACTCCCACACGACATTCCACCACTTGAGTCTTGGACCTGGTGGCTTACTTTCTTACTTTCCCTTTCTCTTTCTGTCTCTTTCTGACCAAATTCTAAAAAATAATAATAAATAAAGTCAAATAAAATAATTCTTAAAACAATTAATTACCTCTTACACAAGCTCTAGAAAACACTAGCACTATTGCCACTAACACAGTAATTCCTATGATGTGGACTCCCCAAATAAATTGGAAAATCATTCAAAAAACAAAACAAAGCATAATGAACCCATAATGGAATACTTTGACTGGTCTGGGGAAAAAAAATAACCTCCATCCAAAATTCTGGAATATCTACCATGCATGAACCCACCACTAATTTTGGAATTCTTCATTCTTAGATTTGCCACAAGACCTCTTTGCTACCTTGGTAAAAGAGCATGATCCCAATGGGCAAACCAAAGCGGGTCATGCCTTAGCCAGCACTGCTGACCACCTGGCCAAAACTATGGAGGGTCTGCTCCCTTGGTCTGGTGCTTCAGACCAGGAGCTGGACCCTAAAAGGCCAACTGTGTGGTTCCACTCCTGGAACTGGTGTTTTGAAAAGAAAAAAGAAAAAGATAAAACCCCTGGGCACAGGTTCAAGGATGCCCCAGGTTATTACAGGATGGAGAAACGGAGCGGGAAGGATTGCCCAATGGCTACTATTAAAGTGTGTGCACACATCTGCACAGACAAATAAAGCAGAAAATAAGCCACTCATGGGTTTCAAATTGTACACTTTTCTGAGTGGCATGGGAACATCTCGCCATCCTGCTCTTTCCTGCTGGGGTGAGGAACCGCCCCTTTGTCCAGCACATGCACACTGTGTAGGCCAACGGCCCGGTCGTCCCTCCGTCTCCTCAGTTATTAGGATGACTGTGCCAGTACGGCTGGGTTTACGTCTGAGGACCCTTATTTTATTTGTAGACAGTATACTGCTGTGATTGCTCTGTTTTATTATTCCATGGGCAATCATGCACTGTGCCTAAGTCATAAACCAAACTTTATCCTATGCACAGGAAGAGTTGACTTCCAAAAGTTCATGAAAAGATCAAATGAAATTCTGAGTTGATTTTGCTGCTGAAAAAAAAAAAACATAATTAGAAATCTATCCATAGTTTTTTTCTTAGTGTGCATTTTCTGTGAACATTTAAGACTCTCATATTGAGATCAGTACTATCTTCCAGTTCAGGCTTCCTCTGGGGGTCTTGGACTGCATCTCCCACAGATGAGGGAGGAATACCATATACCTACCACTGCCGAAATGTGTACTTAAAAACGGTTATGATCGTAAATTTCATGTTGTGTATTTCCTCCCAATAAAACACTATAATAATATCTAAATAGTATAGTTACGATATTTGAGTTTCAAAATCTAAAAAGGGCATTTTATAAATATTTGTGAACACAGTATTAGATTCATAATCTGTTCTTTCATTCATAGAAGTAAATATTAGCTTTCGAAGCCCCATAGTATTATTGAAGAGATGGGATCAAAGTGCATACCAGAGCAATTCCTGCAGCAAACTTTGGGTCACACGCCTTCCCATGATATGTTGCTCCCACATAATCAGGATGGTCCCTATAACTAAATAATAAACATTTCTTGTAGATACATGCATACTAAATTGTTAGTAACTTAATAACCTCTTGAGAACTGGATTCATCGATAAGGTCATGCTTTCTTTAAAACCTGAATATTGCATGTCATAGCTTATGCTCCCTGTCATTTACTGTTGGGGTCATCATCCATAGTTCCTTAAAATTTAACTTCAAAGGGCTATGTAACATTCTATGGCACACGGCCCAAAATCTTCCACCCAGAATTAACCATCACTATTTCACTGCTGGATGGGCATAATTCTAAGATGCAAAAGATATAGAATCGGGGGCTAGATGGTGGTTCTCAGCAAGGCAATCGCACACGGGATGGTTTTGGGTTCAAGTCCAGAGACCTCTGTGAGTACACCCAGCATGCACTTAACCATCATCTGGGTCTGGCTTGAGACTGGGGGTGAATTATGGCATTAAAACCCTTTCCACAGTTCTCTCTCTCTCTCTCTCTCTCTCTCTCTCTCTCTCTTTCTCATACCAATGAAGAAATAAACTTTAAAAATATTTTTAAAATAAAAGAATAGCTTACTCTCATGATTTAATCTTTACCGTTGTGTTTTTAGATTTTTTTTATCTAAAATAATCAAATTAGTCCACATAAGTCCACGTAAATCTCTTAAGAGACACAGAGCAAGTAGATGATTGATTTCTTTAGGTCCTTCTAGAAATGCCACAGTGTAACCACAGGAATATAAAGTGGCCCATTTCAGTTATTTACTGTTTTTATATTGTTTTTATATTTTGTGCTATTATCAGCATTATATGCAATTACTTTAATCTGTGAACTAATTTTTTTTAATGTAACATTACAATGAGGGTTCTGGAACCACCTCAAAACTTAGTGGTTAAGGGAGCCAGATCCCACACTGAGAGGAATTAGACCTCACTTAAAGGTAGATAGGGTTAGGGACCTGAACAGAAGGCACTATTTTTATTTTTAGTGAAGTCCCTGTGTTTTTCCTCTGTGGTCTGGTTAATACACAATATACACATTTTTATATGTCTCTAAAGAATCTCATAAGGCGAGAGATAAGGATATTGAGTACATAGGTAATGGCTCAAGGTGGAGTCACAATGGCCAAGTTTTCACAGCCAAAAGCTGGCTGCACTAGGACTCAAACTATAGCTAGGGGCAACAGTTTCTATTTAGTAATTACTACATTCTAACAAGCAGTACAGAAGGCTATGGTTTGCTCACCATACTAAGGGTGATAAATCACTCAGACTACCATGTAACAATTTTCTAAAGTCCACTTCCTTATCAGAAAGTCAGCCCATTGCTCAGACTGCTAAATAAAAAGTCCTTGCCTCCAGGTCCCCTTTGGCAAACCATTCGGGCCCACTTCTTCTGCACTGGAAGCTTTGTTCTTCCTTCCCTCTTAGCTTTGCTATCACCTCCCTGTGTCCGTGTCTCTAATTCTCTGTGAGCATCAAACAAGAACCAGCATGGGTGTTGAGTCCGATCACCCAGCACTCTTCTGTCAGCATTGCCAACTGCAGTCCAAATTCTGGTGTGAGGAATTATAAAACATGCTCAGTGCTTAAAAAAACAAGCCAGGGATGTGGGCTAGGTGCCCACAATCTCACTGAACCAAAAGGGGTTGCAGCATGACCACACCCCATTGGGGGTGATTTCACCTTCTCTCTCTTTCTCTCTAGCGAATGCATGCACTCTCTAAGTAATTTTTTTAAGTGAAGGTTTTAATTATTAACCTTTGGATATTGAGTACATAGGTAATGGCTTCTTTACATCTACGAAAGCCCCAGTTTATTCCCAAGGCTTTCCATTTTTCCAACTCACCACACTTCCCTAAGTAAATAGTCTAGTCAACTCGGAGAACAACGGCCAAGTATGACTTAATTAGTACATTACAGGGTTATCAGAGTTAAACATTTTGCATATTACCAATACATTATTTATTTATAAAGATTATTATGCCTAAAAATTCTTGTATCTAATTTTGATAGCTAATATAAGAAATTTTATAAACCCTCTATTGAGTTAAATAGAGTGCTTACATGAGTAAGTATGTCATGCCACTGGACCTTTGAATTGCAAATTTTTGCATCCATGACACAAATCTTTGTAGTACATCATTAGGGTCTCCGTTTGTTGAAATCTTATTTTGATCTGACCAGAGCTCCACAGATGATAGCATAATAGTCATTTTAAGCTGGGAAAACATCTAAAAACAGAAGGTACAGTTTTGGGTAACCATAAACACAGCATTACATTTCTATACATAATATTTTCAATTTATGAATCTTTTTGGAGAGTAATCCATTGGTTGATAAAGCTAGTTGTAGTAATGCACTTTTTATAAAAATGCAAATACCTATGCATACCAACAATGTTATTTCATTAATAAGGTTTCTATTTAAATATGACACATAAATACTCACAGTGTTGACAAGAGCAAAGAGATGGACAACCTTCTCAACTGCAGCTCCCACCTCAGAGCCCATAAAATCAAACTGAAAGACAAATTTTAATTATTAACCATTAATGCAAAATGATTACACTGCCCTATTCTAAATGGATTTAAATATAAAAGCTAAAATAATGCAGTGTTCAAAGGAAGAGACAAAAATACAATCAAGATTTAGGACATGCAGGACCAGCAGTTAGAGTAATGGCTATGTTGCTGGATTCCCACGTAGTCAACCACAGTTCATGTCCCGGACCGGGTGGCTTAAACTCACACCGGGCGCGTGTGCGTGCGTGCCCAAGATCCCGAGAGGAGAATGGAGGAGAAGGGATTGCGGTGTGGCCATCCCCCCTGCGGGGTGATTTCTCACTTTCTATCTCTCTGTCTCTCTCTGTCTGTCTGGCCAGTGCACGTGCCCTATAGCAAAAACCTCTTAAAAAAAAAAAAAAAGATTTATGACATGCCAACTAAAGTTTAGGTGTAAGCCCAAGGATTTCATGAATTGATCAATAATGTTAAAATGAGATAGTTGTGATTATCTTCTGATAAAGAAATTAAGAATAAAATTCCATAGTCTGATTAAACAATGTAAGTTTCTTTTTTTCTTTTCTACTGTACTTTTTAATTTACAGAAGGTACAAGCCCAAGAGAGAGAGAGAGAAACCACTCTCGAAAGGGGTGCCCTAATCCTTTCTTCTCCCAGCAGGATTTTAGGCATGCACACACATACACCCACCCAGTTTTTCAAGCCATTGAGGGACTGGGACTTGAACGACGGTGGGCCACTTGAGATCCAGCAGCCCATGCACAGGAATTGCCATGGTACTAGGGGTTTGCCCAGCTATGCGTTCTAAACCCAGAGCCCTGGGTACCATAATATTGAACATTATATTGATATTGACTATCAAGAACATATCCTCATTCAAGGAAACGAAAGTCATATTTTCTCAAAAATATTTCTAATTATGTGCATGCACATTTCTAAGTGTTTGCTGAAAACATAAAAACTGGCAGCTTAGGGCCTTCAACAATCCCCAAAGTGTCTGCAAAAGTCTCTTGACAAGACAATTAAATCTAATTCACAGATTTCCTCCCTGATAAAAACAGTTATCCTCTTGGCTCTACAAGGCCAAGCTCTTTAGAGACTGGCAATTTGCTACATCTTTAGTGTATAAATTTTCCCAGCAGATCACACTGTACACACACAATGTAGCTTGTGTGTGAGTGAAAGAACGTAACACACGTGTTAGTGAGGGTGACCCATTACCAAGCTAAACATGAAAATCAAAATCACAAAACAGAATATGATCATGTAAATCAATCCAAATATATTGATAATCATAGATATTAACAAGCAAAACTCTAGTTAAGCAGAAAACGTGTTTTAAAATCCATTACATGCAAATTAAAATAGAAAACATTAAAATATAAAAACATAGAAATAGGTAGCCAGCAGGTGGCATATTGGTTAAAGCGCTGGATTCCTACATGGCTTGAAAATCATGATAGGCGTGTGTACACACATGGCCAAAATCCTGAGAAGAGAATGGAAATAGGATTGTGGTGTGGCCATCCCCCCCAGAGGGGCAGTTTTTCACTTTTCCTCTCTCTGTCTCTGTCTCTCTCCAGTGAGTGCACACACCCTATGGAAAAAGCCTTGAAAAAATTAGAAATATTAAGACTCCAAGGAGGGTGTTCCATGTATACATGCTCCACGTTGTCCTTGTGTTGTCGCTTTATGGACATGCAGACTGATTCCACGGCCTGGCTTTTGTGCCTAGCGCTACAACAAACACTGGAGTGTAGGGGTCTGCTCCACACACCCATGTCTTTTCCTTTGGATACATACCAAGCAGTGGGACTGCTGCATCTTATCGCAGTTCTGTTTTGATTTTTGAGGAACCTCCATCAGTTTTTCATAATGTCGTACTAACTTACATTCCTACGAGCAGTGTAAAAGAGCTCCTCTCTCTCCGGCCACATGAAATCTTGCCAATAGAAACAAATGGATCACCGTGGAGGACGTTATTGTAAGTGTAACCAGGCATAGAAAGGGAAATGCTGTGCGTTCTCATTCATATGTGGGAAGTAAAAAAGATGACTTCATGGAAGTAGAGAGAGGAAATGTAGAAGGGACAAGGAATTAGGAGAGATGTTGGTTACTAAATATAAAACTGTAGCTAGATAAGTGAGTTCTAGTGTTAAACGGTACAGTAGGGGAACTATAATTAACTATAATTTATAGTATATTTCAGATTAAATTTCAAATGTTCTCAACACAGTAATGACAAATGTTTGAGATGATGGATAAACTACACCCTGATTTGATCATTATACATTGTACTCATGTACTAAAAAAAAAAAAAAAACCACACTGTACCTCACAATTGTTTTGTATGAGTTAAAAAGTCAGAAATAAGGCCAGCCCAGAGTGCAAGTGAGGCAGTTAGACACTGCACAGAGGAAGCCAACTCCCACCAAGCCTATCAGGGTTAGCGTTCCTACCCCCCTGGCTTGCAGAACTCTGAGTATGCACGCAAAGGCGTTCCAGATCCTAACAGGATGGAGACTTGGAAGAAAAAGGGTTGCAGTGTGACCTTCTCCTGTGGAGGGCGTGCTTTCTCTTTGTCTCTACCTCTCTCTCATATGTGCACACATGCCATCTGGCATTTAAAAATAGCTAAAATAAAGAGCCAAGATATCATGTGTTATCAGGAGAATACTAGACAAAAATCACATGTTACCTGATATTTATAAAACTATCAATAAAGAAACACACTTGAAAAATCCAAGAAATATTGGATATAATGTACATACATGGAAGCTTATATACGATGATGAGAATATGTTTTTTAAATATAAATGAAAGTGTTTTTACAAGTTGACTCACATGTGGCCACAATACAGCTCTTTTGAATATGAAGCATGTCACATACATCACATCGACCACAATGCGATATCGGGGACTTGATAAAAGTATTTTAACAGTGCCACTTTTACCAAGCCGGATAAATGCTGTGGTTATATGAGATAATACTTATATCTAAGTAAATGTACACTAAAGTATTTAGGAGTAAGCCTGCAAGACACAATTTACAACTTACATTCAAATTCAAATGGAAATTGCACAAGTAATAATGAAAAACTATATTAACAATAAATATGGGTAGTGAAGATAAAGGTGTTCTTTGCATAGTTCTTATTCTTAAAACTTTTCTGAAAGATGAAAATTATTTCCAAGTAAAATGTTTAGAAAATAAAGGTGCAATAGATGATTTATTGAACAAAGGTGAGCTAATTCAACATGCTAAGGAGAAGTATGAGAGACACGGACATACTGAAATAAATGAAGATCCATGGGAATAGAAACTATGTGGGAAAAGTTATTTTCCCTTCCCTTAATTTATTTTAAATAAATATTTAATTAAACATTTGTATTTCTCAGTTTCTAACACACAGAGAAATAAAATATAACAAAATTACAATGACCGACTGGGATTAAATGAAACATTACTGTTAAAAAGCTGACCAGCAAATAAAAGAAAAAATTCATCATGGCAATTTTGACGTCATGTTCACTGTATTTTACCTGTTAATTTGGAACTGGCTTATTTATCAAAAATGTACTCAAGTCATGTGAACTCGAAAAGCATTTGCATGAGGTTTGATGTGAGGTCTTATTTGTTTACAAGCCAAACTGAATAAAATTTGTTAAAGAATTTTACCATGTAGACAGTACACACAACATGCTACATGCAAACATGTACAAATACAGGTAAGACCATATACCAAAGGTCTTCAAAACATTTATAAAAATGTGCATTATGGAAAAACCATGCCTGTATTTAACAAATTTCTGTAGCAAAATAAACTCAAATTTTAATTCCATGCTTCCACGTAAGTCCCCTTATATACACACACACACACAACACACATATGCATACATACACACACACACACACACACACAAACAAAAGATCTTTTAACTTTCTGGGGCCAGCAGGTGGCATGGTGGCTAAGGTGCTGGACTCCCACATGGCCAACCATGAATCAAGCCCCAGACCTGGTGGCTTGAAACACACCAGGCATGGGTAAGTGCATGCCCCAAATCCCAGCAGGAGAATGGGGAGAAAGGACGGCAGCATGGCCACCCTGCCCTGAGGGTGATTTCTCACTTTCCCTTTTACTATTTCTCTCTCTCTGACTCTCTGGCAATTGCACTAGCCCCATGGGAAACACCTTTAAAAGAAAAAAAAAAAAAGAAAGAAAGAAAGAAAGAAAGAAAGAAAGAAAGAAAGAAAGAAAGAAAGAAAAGAAAAGAAAAGGAAATAGATTTAACAGTTTCATCAAGAACTTCATTAAAATTTGTTAGATACAAAAAAGTAGCTGGGGCTAGCTGCAGCTAATTAGATTACAGTGTAGAACCTTTCCATACAAATGTACACATTATTCCCAAGATTCTAGACTGATTTGGAAATGAATTATAAATACTGGCTCCTCTATGTCAATGTAAAGGCAATTGTCACTTCTCTACATCCTGCAAGGCTGAGACACATATTTTTATCAGAATAAAATATATCTGTCTTGAAAACAGGTGTTATTTATTCATATTCCCCCAAATTTAAACACAAAACAAAAATATAATGAAATATGTTAATAATGCATACCATGGCTTTATCCATAATTATTTGTATTTTCAGAGTTCTGTTCTTTAGTGCATCTGAATGTGTCTGTAAAACATGAATTAAATAAAACAGTTTCAAAATCCCTACACTGTAATGTTCATAATACACACACTCACAGAGGTAGAGCCACATATATAGATATATATGGTTGCAGACAGATATAGATAATAGAAAAAATAAAATTATAGATGGCCACTTAGTAGGTGGGATCCCTCATAAAATTTTTAGAAACAAATAGAAGGATTTTACCTTATACTCTTAATAATCAGAATCTTCCAAAGTCACTGAAATGAAGACTTGCACATTTCCTTCCTCTGAGAACATCCCTGTGGGCCATGCAAGACCTCCCCCTACCCCCAGTCCCTGCCACCAACCTCCAGGCTAAACAGACTTCCATCAACTTTCCCTCCTGTATTGCATCTACTTTCTCATTTTTATACTTTCACCTTTTAATATTAACTTAAATGAGGTTACAGGCAATAAAATGTGTTCAATTTCAGTACATGGCTAAATAGGATTTGTGACTAAGTATGTAACTTTTTCACAATTACATTGAAGCACGTTTCCATGTCAATACTCCACCTGGCTCAAGACAACTGATAATCTTGTGATCAGCATAGGTTAGAATAATCCACTCTAGCACTTCATATAAATGGAATCCTATGATATGTGCTCTTTTATAGCTAGCTTCTTTTCTTCCCTCAGGTCCCTCCGTATCTTTTCTTCGTTTTCACGCTAAGTAATGTGACATTTCAGAGATACATCACAGTTTGTATATACAGTCACTTGTTGATGGTCACTTGGAGTATTTACACATTTTAGCAGTTAAAAACAATGCTGCTCTGAATATCCATGCACAGATCTTCATGAGATTTTATATTTTTAATGTTTCTCAGTAAAAACTTAGTATATTTGAGTCAAATGTTATCAGTAAATGTGTAAAGTCGTATGAAACAGCCAAGTTACTTTCTAAAGTGGTTTTAGCATTCCACATTCTAACAAAGAATTAGTAAGAATTTGATCGCTCTACAATCTTGGCTCTCTTTGAGAATTTGAATCTTTTTCACAGTAATTGTTCCTGTTGAGAGAGAGATCAATATTTTTTTAATGGCTTACATGACATGGAAAATGGCTAGACGTTCAAAAACAAAAAACAGGAGCCAACGGGACAGTTCAGGCCCAGAGGCTGTCCTGCCGCCTCCAGAAGATGGCCATACCATAACCCCGTCTCCATTCTTCCTGCTGTGCAGACCAACAAGAGCCAAGAGGCAGCCAGCACTCCAGCTCCAAGTAGAGGCTGATGGCCATCTGCTGTACGAGTCTCCAAGACAAGTATCCGATGGTCTGTTCTGTTCAGGCTTCCACTACTTGGATGAGGCCTTACTGTATGGAGGGCAATCTGGTTTCCACAAGGCCCATCAATGTTTACCTCGTTCAAAATCAGTCTCATAGAAATATCCTGAATAATGTTTGACCAACCATGTGTGCACCAGGGCTGCAGACAGAATTATAACCCGGACACTACGTTTTCTCATTTCAAGTACTTAGGCATTCTTTTTAAATTTTTAGTGTTGTTTTTTAAAAATTTCATGCCAAACTGCATCATGATCATTTATATAAGTAACCAGATTTTCTTTTTTATATGAGTCCAGAAACTCATCTTAAATGATTCTGAGATGTTTATGTGGCTTTTTCATGATATGACTATTTTTTTCTCATTATTCTTAAAGGAAGTTATACTTCTATCATGTATATTATTATTTTAACTTTCTATCTCTCAAATTTTTCTTTTGTTTTTCTTCTTTATTTTTAGTGTGATTTCTTGAATTTTACCTTGTCAATTTTCTGTTGGACTTCTTTTTTAATTTATTCAATTTTATTTATCATTATTATTATTATTATTAATTTGCTAAAGGGCACGTGTGCTTACCAGAGAGAGAGAGAGAGAGAGAAAATAAGAAAGCAGACCACCAGGTCTGAGACTTGAACTGCAGCTGGCCATGTGGGAGTCCAGCACCTTAACCACCACGCTACCTGCTGTCCCTTCTGCAGACTTTTATTACATTTTTACATTTCCAAGGACTATTTTGAGTCTGCAGAATTTTATTTAATAGCACTCCATTCTTTCTTTCTTTGTGAAAAGGCATGTGCACTCACCGGAGAAAGAGAGAAAGTAAAAAAGCACCCCCAAGGATGATGGCTATACCATAATCCCTTCTCCACTCTCCTCTTGAGAGGCTGGGCACGCACATGTGCCCAGCTAGGTTTTCAAGCGGCAGGGTCCCGGAGTCAAACTATGTAGTCAGTCATGTGGGAACCAGTGACTGTGCTCACCCCACTGGCCGAGCCAGCACCCCGTTCTTATTTGGTGGATATTTTTCTTACCCTTCTGAGGCTAGTAAGTCATTTCATTTTCTCCACCCTCTCTAGCACTTCACATTTTAATTCTGATTTTTCTTTCATGTGTCTGTCTTCCATATTGAATTATTTTGTCATATGACTAGTGTGCTGTCATGTTAGGGATGACTATTTAATAGTATTTGCCAATATCTGTGACTACAGAAGGAGTAGTTTATGGGTTGTGGTACTCAACGAGTAATTTGTCAGGGTTTTTGTTTGGAAAACCCTACTATCAATTTAATTGGGTGTTTTCCATGTGACTTGTTCAACTCCATCCGTGAGAGGAGTCTTTCAACACTTCTTAGATGGGGAAAGCCTGGCTCCCAATATCCAGTCTGCCATATTCAGATCGATTACACTAGTTTTGCTCTGGTTTGCCCACTCCATTGTGAGAAAGTACGAACCATCAGTGCCTGGCACCTGCATTTGACAGATTCCACAGAAAATCACCTTCTTTATCTATCAATCTACTCTGGAGGCAGTTGGTTAGGAAAGGACAGGTTTTCTAATTACTTGCACAGTGTATTCTGAGCCAGTTCTCCTCTTAGGTCCACTTCTGTTCTTTCTTTCTTTCTTTCTTTTTAAAGAGATATTTGCTATAGGGTTCATGTACTCACCAGAGAGACAGAGAGACCACCCAGGCAATCCTAGGGGCTTGAGAATGGTCCTGCCACAACATACTGTTTCCTAAAGCCTATCCCAATCACTAGGACTCAGTTTTTGGGTGATAAATCAGACACCTATCTAATTATATTCCAATTCCAGAGTTATTGCTCTCTTTGGACAAAATTCTGCTTTCTCTTTGTATGTTTCTGTCATTTAAAAAAAATCCCTATTTTTCCCTTCAGTGAGTTTAAGGAAAAAGGAGGGGTGTTTGATGTGCTTTTAATAGATAACTTTCTTATATCTGTATTTGCTTTTTGGTTCTACTTTTATTTCTTTTTAAAAATTTTTAAGTTTAGTTATTCATTTCTTCCCAGAGAGAAACGGGCACCTTCAACGGGGTCTTCACAACTGGATACACATCCAGCCTCAGCCGGACCGGACCAAGGGCACATGCACTTGCACACCTGATGCCTGCAGGGAGGCCTGGGAGGTGAAGTGGAGACTGTCCTTGACTTCCACATCACCCTGCACCACAGTGGTCAAACTCTGGTTCTTACAGCGCTTTTGAACTCTAATTATAATAAGGTGTTCTCTTTGTTTACATGTTTGTGCTTACTTTTATATTTGAAAACATGCCTATAGATAAACTTTTCTGTTATCTGATTTTCCTGTTCCTTTTTAAGATCTGCTATACTGAAAAGATATATTAGCTTTGTGCTTGTAAGAGCACCTGTGCGTGTAAAGGCATATTTAATTAAACCTATAAATGTAAGTCCTTCAAATTCATGATGAAAGTCACGTGAGATCTCCTATGACAATATGAAATTTTAAAATACCAATACCCAGTTATCTACATTCCTTCAGTGGTATCCCTGACTTTTTCGAGCTTTCTGAAAGTTTTGTCATTGTCTGTTTTATTTTATTTTATTCACTTTTTTTAGAGAGATTTTTTCTATAGGGCTCGCTGGGGAAACAGAGAAAGATAGAACGCGAGAAGTCACCCTTTCCCCCGACCCCTCCCCGCAGAGGGGGAGGCCATGCCACAATCCCTTTTCCTTCATTTTTCTCTCGGGATTTTGGGCATGCACCCATACCCACCCAGTGTCAGTTTTAAACCATTGGGTCTGGGACTCGAACTGCGGTTGACTAAGTGGGAGCCCAGCAATGTAACCATTATGTCATCTGATGGTCTCTGTCTGCTTTGTTTTATAATTGCATTTATTTTGTAATCAAACTTTCCATACCTATTTCTCATTATCTTCCTCTAGTATATTAGGGAATACATTAAGAAAATAGCAGTTACATTAGTGACATTGATTGCTTTTATTTCTTAACATTAACCTAACTAATTCCCAAGTATAAACTTACTGGATATTTAAAATAACTGTATGAGTTAGGTATTAATTTTATTGGTGTCTTGTAATAGATGAGAAGATATAAATACTTTGGAAGCTTGTTACTCACCCAAGTTCTTATGTCTAGGGATTGAAAGAACTGGAATTTACACCCAGGCAGCTGGAAATGTAAATTATTCCAATCCTCTTGTTATTGCTTATTCTATGAAAGGGGATGGTTTCAAGTGAGCTGTCACTTGTCTTTCCCAAAACACATCCACTTTTTCAGATATTTTTTCCCCTGCCACAGAAGAATATTCATGGACTCCATCAAAGTTTCTTTTTTCCCTCCAAATTACTTTATGAGTACCACTCAATTTTCATTATGAGCATTGTCTTCCATTGTTTCCCAAGTCATAACATATTATGCAGATAATTTTCCATTAAATTTGGCCATCACTTCTTAGTATTATTAAAAATGAAATTTGTTTCTATAGGCAATTTTATTTTATCATTTCTGTGAGCTTCTGAAATGTTAGTTTTGTTTACCTATTCGTATACTAATATTTTTGTCAAAATAAATAAAGCAAAAGACAGTGAAATGGAGTTTGTCACATATTAAATTTCAGTGTCAATTATTGTTATTTTATTTTGCCTCCCTTTAATGTGAGATTCAGTGAATTTGTGGAGAGAAACTTATTAAACCATGATGATTAAATATAAAGTTGTACAAATATTCGAAAGAGAGAAATCAAGATCTTGACCAAAAAGCTCTTGAAAATATGCCTACTATAATGTCCAACTATATAAATTGAAAATGTGGTGTTAAAAAATTTAGTGCACTCATGTAGTTCATTTATTGCAAAAAAAGTATAAATATTTAAAATACAACAATTTCATGAAATAAATACATGTAAGCTTAAGTGTGTATACCTGTAAAGTATAAATGCATATACATAGCAGAATAATAGTGATGCATGTTACAATATCATTTGGCTCTAGAAAATGGCATTCTGGTCCGATATTATTTTATCTTTTCCTTATTTCTGAATATATTTTATATTTTAATAGGTATATTAACCAGCATTATTTAATTTTTAAAAATAAGAATAGCATAACTTAATAAATAAAATGTACATTATCTTAATAGTAAAACGAAAATATTTTTGAAAAGATCATTTTGAAAACTCTGCATGTATGAATCTATATTTGTAACTCAGCATATGAAAACAATTAGAACAAATATTCCAAAATTCTAACATTATTTCTAGTTGATTAGGCTTGGGACAATGTATAGTGTATTATTTCTCTTCTTTTCTACTTTTAAATTTTCTATCATAGTAACACTTCTTTTATAAAAAGAAAATGAATTGGCAAATGAAAATTCTCATAAAGTTACAATGAGCAAATTTGGAGTTATCCTATTGGTAGGATGCAAATTCAATAAAAAAGCAAACATGCGAAAGGGAGTCATCAAAATAGTCATAAAAAATGCAGGCTATGAAAAAACTGTGTGCAGTTTTCATTATGTTCTTTTTTATTTTTTTGCATCAAATCAGCTTGTGCTTATTCATTCGTCTCTTCCATAAGCAAACCAGAGAGAAAGAGAAAACATTCTCAACAGGGTCTTGATGCCACAATCCAACCTCAGCTTTCAAAGGCCTCAGACCAGGGACATGCATATGCCCTCTGCACTCAGGGAGATCTCTAAATACAAACATAAAACTTTGCCATGTGGATAAGCCTCCAGACTACTACATTTTAGCACTGCCTCACGGGCCAGCCCCCTAAACTCAGACTCTAATTCCATTTCCCATGAATTCATTGATGTTCCATTGTATTTGTTCATAACAATTCTTATAATTAGAGAAACATACCATGAGAACTTGGATGATTTTTAAATTAAGTATATATATGCTACATTTAAAAAATATTATCTGGGGGCCAGTTGGTGGTGTGGTGGTTAAGGTGCTGGACGCCCACACGGTATTGCATCCCAGTGGTTTGAAACTCACATTGGGCATGTATGTGTGTGTGCACAGCCAAAATCCCAAGAGGAGAATAGAAGAGAAGGGATCATAGCATGGACATCTCCCCAGAGGGGTGATTTCTCACTTTCTCTCTTCCTGTCTCTTTGTCTTTGGTGAAAGCATGCGCCCTATAGCAAAAATCTCTCTCTCTAAACACACACACACACACACAAATACACGTATTTTCTGAGTAAACACAAAATGTTCAAAAACAAATACCCAATAGAATTTTTTTAATATAAAAATATTAAATTAAATCTGCTTTCCAATTGTATAAAATCTCAAAATTTCAATGTGAATACATTTATCAAGTATAACACAGATTACTTACCTCTGATTTGACAAGAATCCTGTAGGACTGCTGCATATATTGGTTCCTAGGGTAATTTTCTTTTAAGGGAGAATGATCAATTTTATTATTTTTTACTTGATACAGCATATGCTTATATGCAGATGAATATTCCAATGGTTCAATTCCATAACTCGTGTCCTCTAACTGCAATAATCCCCTAAATATTAATTATAAAAATGAAATAAAAATGTAGTTAATACAGATTTCTCACTAAGAAATGTATGTCAACAATAAATAAAAATAAAAACATGCTATAAAAATTTGGTCACAGACTTTGTAGTCTACTACCTAATCAGCCCATCTGATTTAGATTAACCTCAAATCCAATTTAATATCCGCTTCTCTCTATTATAGTATTTAGCAGCCAAATGTCTCTAGGTTGGTCAAGAAATTTGAATATTCTTCACGCTCAGGGGAGCTTTTTTTTGGTATAAATTGTATGACTGCAAATCTGAGATAGAGAGAAAGGAGACAGAAGAAAGGTTCTTATGAAAAGATAAGGCAGAGGTAAAGAAAATGTATGAGAAGAAACAATTCATGTCTACACATTGTGAGGTGTTCACTTTGTACTTCAAGAAGTATCTGAGAAACAAGAGCTCACACAAGATCTTAATGTGCTTCTCTGGAATACGCCATTACCTGAGTCCAGAACAGGTGCTTAATGTTGCAGCTGATGCTGAAATTTCTGCAATATGTCCTAGATAAAAGCAATCACCCTAAAGAGGAGGATAGGAAGATATATTCATCAATGATTTATAAATAATGTTCTTGGTTTTATACTTACCTCCTAGATATTATCAAGTGTTTGGATCCATCTGATATTGCAATATCATTTATCAGATACTCAGTTTCCTTTACTATCTGCAAATTCTTTCTTTAAACATGACTACCATACCCCTCCAATCATTCTTGCTAAAATTCTAAATTTTTGATAACTTTCTTATTTGTATCTTTTCTTTCTCAGCCTTATTTAATGAGAGTATATTCTATCATGTCAACGTGGCATAATTACTAACAGTATTTGATTATGATTGTTAGTATTTCACTCACTTTTTTCCTACCTCACCCAAAAATATTTTAATTGACATTTCTTCAACATGATTCCTTTTTAGTAGCCCACCTTAGAGATAACTGTCCATCCTTAGTTCGAACTCTCGTCCTTATTCATTAACACAGGATTAGTCTTTCTCAGGTTCTCCTTGAGTTTCTTTCAGTGTACTCCTCTTTTCCTTCCCTTCAAAATTCTACTGACTTCTAGAAATAGTTCTGCCCCTTCATTAATCCAATATTATAAAAACTATAGTGTCATCATGTTCTCTTCTATGATGTCTAAATGTTATTAGATCCAAGACATACATCCCCACCAGTGATCATTTTCTTTTTCTCAAAACTAGCCAGAACCCTCACCTCTACCCACTAACAGCGGCAGGTCACATCCACCCCCAGTGGTAGTAGGCAGAGTCCATATGCACTAACCCTACACCCGACACAGTAATAGCAAAGTGCTTGATCTGCCCACACTATTAAAGATAACTCAACAGAAAGATCCATCCACTACCCCCATGAAAAGCAACAGAAGCAGCCACCTTCGCCTGCCTTGGTGCCCGCAGGTTATGTAGCTACAAGCTCTTCACGGAAAGGGAAAAGGCAACCCAAGTCCCAAAACTCTACCCAGCAGTAGAGAGAAATCCAGACTCAGCAGCTCCTGGCCAAGCACCCAGTGGAAGAAGGTGACCCTTGTGACATGTTCTCCAATACCCCTACTCCAAACAGCAAAAGATCACCCATTCAAAAGCTTCCCTTTTCCAAGGACATCCACACAGACTAAAGTACTCTAACATTTAGCAGCAAGAAAACAGAGGAAAGTTCTCCACCTCATGGGTTTTTCATCACCTCCTCCAGCAATACCACCTGCCCCAGGAAGTACCATTGCCACCTAGAGCAGAATCACAGAACCAGAAGAATGAAGCACACACAATGATGTTTCAAGTTCTAGGAAAGCTTAATCATTATTGGGATAGCAGACCACATTAAATCTCAACTTAAACTGGATGCCTGTCTTCTAAATTAGAAAATAAGGTCAAGAGTCTCCTTGACAAAATGTTAAGGACATAATCACAATCACTCCTGTGGGGACCCCATTGCTAAACACAGCAGAAGAGAGACTTTGGCACATATCAGTCCATAGCAAAAGGGAAACACATTTGTTTCCAGTCAAAGAAACATTCTCCAAAAAGGTATCCAAAAGTGAATATATCTCCCAATGGCTAGAAGTAGAAGAATAGCCTCGGGTCTGAATAAACCAGAAAATATGTCTCCATCAAAAGAACACAATAACTCCCCTCTATCTCTTGAAAAAAAAAAATACGTAGGAAGTTACCAAAATGTCAGAGAAAGAATTCAGAACATTCATGGTGACAAAACTCTATGAGGTGAAACAGAAAAGAGACAACAGACTACAGGAGATTAAGAAGTCCTTCCTTGATATGAAAGAAGAAATGAACACTATTAGAAAGAACCAGATGGAACATTATAGATGAAGTCTGTAATACAGGAAATAAAAACTCTTTTGAAAGTAATAAAAGTTAATTAGACCATGCTGGAGATCAAATCTCTGATGTAGAAGATAAAACCAGTGACCTAGAAAAAACACCAAAAAGATAGAGAAAATAATAGCAAAAACAGGATAATATACGAGAAATACTAGATTCCATTAAATGTCCAAACATCTGAATAATCGGTATCCCAGAAGGTGAAGAAACTAATAAGGGCATGGAAAGTCTATTCTATGAAATCCTGGAAGAAAACTTCCCAAGTCTAGAGAAGCATTCAAATATTCCAGACCCAAGAAACACAAAGGACTCCAAATAAACTCAAGAAAATCTTCCCCAAGGCACATCTTAGCCAGACTAGCCAAAACCACAGATAAAGACAAGATACTAAAACTGGCAAGAAAGAAACGACAAGTGACTTTCAAAGGTCACCCCATCAGGCTAACACCAGACCTTTCAACGAAAATAATACAAGCAAGG